CAAGCATTTCTGAGAGGCCACTGCTGGCTGCTGACACATCACCATTTTAGACAAGAGCTCAGCTATTACACAAGTCTTTCCAGGTATGACCTTAACAAAAACAGAAACCAACCAAACAAAAAACTCCTATGAACATGACAAATGGAAATGTCAGTTATACTGAAAAGGAGAATTGAAGCCATTATTCTTTTATGGAGTACAAATAACTACATTTTGATAATTTCCCCTCTTTTCTTTTTAATATATCAATTACTGGCAAAAGTAGCCAGATGAAAATACCTCAGGGACCCGCATTCTCTTTTGCCCACATAAGGGTAATACCATCTGCATTTCTCCAGGTCTCCTACTTATAGAAAATTCTGTTATTTAACATTCATCACACTGCTGCAGCACTGGGAACTTACAGAGCTCATACAAGATATGTTTCCTGACTATATCTTTCCCAAGAGCATGCACACCCCCTGAAAAGACCAGCCGATAACAATTTTGCAGTCTGCATCGAGGAATTAGTGGGCAGAGACTATATCAGAGATTGCAAACTTGTAAGCCTACAGGGGCCAGAAAGATGGAATTACTGAGCAGATAAGATTCAGTGCCTGCTTATTAAACACATCTGAATAGTCTTCATTATCAAAAATAATTATTTTCTCTCTTGTGTTTTTATTCATAGCATGATTCTCTTGATACGTGTTTTATTTTCCCAGTTCTGATAGAATTATGAGTTTAGAGAAATGTGTCTCAAATATAAGACAATATGGAAAGCATGATAACAAATGAAACTATCAAAAGTAATTTGTAGCAAATGATACAATAATACAATAGGGAGTGGTTGGAGATTTGAATTGTTACATGAGACATGGATTTAAGCATGGTTTAAAAGTGGCAAAAAACTGAAATTGTGCACATTATTTTTGAAATATAACATATTTAGAGGCCAAATCTGACCACAATATGGCCTTTCAAACAGTTTCTTTTGGTTAGATTTTGTTTTTTGTGTGTTGGTTTGAGATTATTATTATAGCATATTACTGTTCCCTCGTGTTCTGCTTGTAGTCCATGTCTAAGGTAGGACTTAGGCAACTAAATTCTAGAAGCTCCACAAATAACTCTTATGCTCATCTGGGATTGAGAGTCACTGGTATAGGCAGCTGGTTAGGGTGGACGTGCTCCTCCTACCTCCCACCTAACCCCACCCCTCAAAAAAAATGGTTTGCCTTCCAAGCATGACAGCAACAGCACATGCTTGCTGAGAGGATTATTATTTCACTGTATGGCTGGGCATATCTGTGGCCATGACCCATGATCACACGGAGGCAGTTAAGAATGCTAAGGACGCTAAACATCATGAATGGCTATTCTTCACCTCTGAGGTACCACTGTGTTGACAAAATGGGGATGATTCTGGTGAAGATAGAAAAGGCCCCACGGCGTAGCCTAAGAAAAAGATATAACAGAGAAAAACAGGTCTGGGAGACGTGAGCAATCTTGACCCTAGACTATTATATGATTTTGTGAGGCATGGAAAATTAATCAGCTATTTCCATGTCCTCAAAGTCCTTACATTCCTCCAGCACCCTTTGACTTGATCATGTTCACCTAGTAGTCTTCTAATTACTAATTATATTGTATAAAAACTTTACTAATAATATTTGGCAAGGGTCTAATGAATACAAGCATTCTCATCACTGGGAAGAAATCTTCCCATAAAACAGATTTAATCCATTGGGATTGGGGGTTATAAATCAGTCCTCCATGAGCTTAGTTAACAGGACTCAGACATCAAAACTCTAATTGATTCCAAACCCACTGACAAATTCAGTTCTCTGGTTTGCCACGTTGAAGAACAAACCCTTGACTGCTCTGTGAGGCTCAATTTTGGGAAGTGGGTGGAGGTGTGGTAGCAGCACATTCTGGGGACAACACTCTGGCACTGATTTAAAATTTTTCTAATTTTAAAACCAACTTGGAAAAACTGATTTTAAAAATGTATTTTGATGGAAACTTTTATCTGTGATCCAAAGTCCTCAGCATTTTTCTTATATTTTTTCCAGGATGTGAAAATTGAGTTGAAGAAATCTGTTGAGTTTCCATGGAAATGGTGCCAATTAATTTTTTTCGGTTCCTCAGGAAAATTCCTTGACTTAGCAATAATGTAGCTTCCTGGCAATCCCTTGGCAGTCTTCAACACAGGGCATCTGAAATGCCTATACTTTCAGTGGGAAAATAGTTGGCTCTCATAATCCCTTTCCCTTCCAGCATATAGTGAAATAATTGAATAATTTATTTAACCTTTAGAGAACCTGTCCAGTCCCTTTAAAAAATCTTGACTCTGACAAACACTTCACAAAAGGGTCTTTTTGTTCTGTATCAATCATCAAATAAAGAGATTATCATTGGTGAAGCATGCACTGTTTTTCCTATTACACCATGAAATCCCAGGGTATTTGAAGAGTATTCATTAATTTAGGAATAAGTAGTTTTGATTGTCTAGTATGTCCCATGGTCTGGATGGTCATAAATATCTGAAAAGATTTAGAGAAAAATGGCTGGACATTGGAAGTCCATTAGGTACTTAATTCTTTAATTTCAAAACCTTCCCCATTATTCTTTTTTTTTTTTTTGCGGTACACGGGCCTCTCACTGCTGTGGCCTCTCCCGTTGCGGAGCTCAGGCTCCGGACGCACAGGCCCAGCGGCCATGGCTCACGGACCCAGCCGCTCCGCGGCATGTGGGATCTTCCCAGACCGGGGCACGAATCCGTGTCCCCTGCATCGGCAGGCGGACTCTCAACCGCTGCGTCACCAGGGAAGCCCCCCCATTATTCTTAATTATGTTCTTCTCATGCTAGATTCTGATTTCCCTGCAGACTGCAGTTATCAGGAAGGTTTTTCTTCCCCTAACAAACATTTCATAGGATTTAATGTTCCTCTACTCCTTGAAAAGAGAACAATAATCTTTCCCATTCTGCTGAATTACTAATGTCCACAGTTAAAGGAATCTAGGGGAACTGCTCTAAGGTGACTAATCAAAAATATCATCAATAATTGGATTGAAATAGCTAGAGAGTGAAAAATTCACACAAAAATTTGATTAGAATTTTCAGTAACCTAACCCCCCAAGAATTAAAAAAATCTGGTCATCATTGATCTTGAAGAAGCAAATTAAGTAACAAGATATGGACAGATGTTAATCCAGTAAAATATTTTATAATTTAGGTTCTTGTTTCCTTTCACCATTCTCTCCTCCCCTTTTATTCTGAGTACAGAAGGGACTATTTTTTTCTATACATATGGTAGAATATTAATAGGTTTCTTCTAGGCTTCAAAAACATTAGCAGCCTTTTCTTATATTGCTCTCTGTGGGACAACCAGAGGATGACAGATCAGGCATTCTGAGGATCCCTTCATTACACTTGCTACTTGTCCCCTTCTTTCATATCCTGTGGCCTTCTTCACATCATCCTCCTAATTCTAACGTAATTTAATTAAAATATAATAATTGAATAATTTGTTAAAAATGCTTTAGGGAAACTTTCTCCCAAAGAGCTCAAAGCGTCCCCTCTCTTTATTCTTTTCCAAGCTCTGTGAGGTATGTGGAAGAGTCCAGATAGGAATAATCTTCTCTACTTTAATTCTTCAATAACTGTTTGATCCTAATGGTACAATGATCTCACATGGAGCTCTGCATTTATTTCTTGAGAGAGCTGAAGGCACAGTGGGAGGCTAATAGTAGACTTAAAAAGATATATCTTTCCCTTCAAACTAAGAAATCACTGGAAATGAAAAATTGTCCAGTAAGGAGAGTTTTTTGCATACAAATTTATAAGTAGTCTATCCAAGTGATTTGTAGGAGACTGGAAGTTCAGGTCCGTCATGTGCTGCGTTCAAACACCACATACTTAACTGGAAGAATGATCTAAGTACAACCTCGCTGCCGTGAGAAATGCCACTTGAAGTGATGGGTGATGATCATTCATTTAAGGACACACCTTTGTTTGAAGGATGATCCATAGCATCCCAGGAGCAAGTCCATGAGGTTCTGTATTTAATAGGTCCGTGGGTGTCAGAAGTTGGTGCAATCAGCACTTTGCTATTTTCACAGTGGCACACAAAGAGGCTATGGAAGTGGCTGCTGGTGAAATAACTTCCCAGTTTTATTTTAATGTCTCTCTCAATGATTTATGAGTAACATTTCAAGGTAATATTATTTTGGAGTGATGTTATTTCAAAAGTGGGTTGAGGTTAAAAGCATCTGTACATGCTCATTGATTATCAGAGTCATCCAGTGTTACCTCCACCTCTGCCACCTTTTATGTTTTTCATTTTTGAACTTTAACCAAAGATTTATTATCAGAAAAACATCATAATAAATAGCCTGCCAGAGTACCTCTTTTCAATGGAACCAAGTGTGTCAGGAAAGGCTGGAGGCAGCTGCCTCCTTCTGAAGCAAGAGGAAAATATTCCTCCTGTGTGAGATGCCTCTGAGCTACAGTGTTCAGCTCTTTTCTGCATGACAAATAATTGGTCCAATAAATGGTAGGTCCATTACCCAAGGCAAGAGAATAGTGAGACAATCTTTGACTGGAGTTCAATGCAAAGCACAGAAAACCCATGCTGGTCCCCTTCATGGGATCATCTGCCCCTCCTACCAAGTTAGGTTCCAGAGGCTTCTCTCTAAAGGTCTCTGAGGGATGTTAGAGAACTTGTCTTACTTGACCCTCCTGGAGCTCTGATAGCAAACAACATTATCAACATCACCACAAATTTCCCAGTAAGGCCTTTGTTAATTAAAATAATTTGGCTTTCTTAATTAAAATAATTTTCTTGCATTAATCTTACTATGGAAAAATTATACTTGGGTAAGACACTGACTGACTTAACAGTGAAATAGCCAAGTACACAATTATTTACTTCTATAGCAGGAGACTTTATTCAGTATTCATAAGATTTCTTTAACTCTTACTTAGAGATTATTAACTAAACTGAAGTTCATGTTAGTACCTTGTTTCTTAGGGCCATGGAACTTGTCACCATTTGATTGTCTTCTGGCAGTCTTTTGTTGAAACACTGTAAAAAATAGAACACAGATTATTTATTGAACATAAACATAGAAAAGAACACACTGTGGAAGACTGTAGGAAATTAGAATGCAGTACTTCATTTTCCTTAGTAACAATTCCTGAATTGTATTATTTTTTGAGTAGGAGGATTATTAAATTTCAATTTTCTCATTTGTGCAGCTTATCAGTCATTTTCAAAAAGCATTTTCTTTGCACAGAGTAGTATAATGCTGATGGAACGCCTCATTAAACTGTTTAAATCAAGATATGATTCCATTTTGATACCAGGTAAAGATAAAAGCTACATTTTGTTAAAAGTGATAAATGCTAAAATCACATGAAAAATTCCATTTGCACAGAAATTACTCATGCTGACTTTTTGGTGATAAGCAAGGATAAAGACTGTTGCTTCTTCAACAGATGAAAAGACTGCTGGATTCCCAGATGTAATAATAAAGAAGATACTTTATTCTTGCATCATCTAGCTAGACCTCAGACCTATTAAAGCAGCTTATTCGAATTACTCCATTATCTGAAAAGTACTTTGTTCTCATTTATTATTTCTTACATGGAATTCTGTGAGACAAGTCAGCATTACCCCATTCAGCAGATGAAAGATAAAACTGATTGTTTAATATTTATTGAGCACCCACAAAGTTCCGTATACCTGCTGGTATTTGTTAATGAGGAAGTCTGTAGCCTTTAGAGCTTGACTTTAGAAACTGAATATCCCAGACTTCCATTTATTTTTTATGGGTAGTCTAAACTATAGGGTTTGGGAACTGAAAGAGGCCTTGGAGATTTAGTCCGATGTCATATGTTTATAGATGAGAGAGGTGGAAATAACTAACATACAAAATAACTAACATATAAAAGGGCTACGTAATTTTGCAATGATAGTGGAGCTATCATTTTGGATCTTTGCCATTGGTCTCAGTATTCTTTAAACCAATCTAATATCAAGGTCATATCTGTGATGAATCCAGATAGCATTTTTTTCAAATTTAAGAAAGTTCCCTAAGCCATATCAAATCAATAATTATTTATTAAGCACATATACTTTGCCAGCTGTTGTCAAGAAAAAGGGTACTCTGCTCTGTCCTTCAAACAGGAGAAGCGAATATACTTTCAAAGTATGATGTGTTTAAGAGAAATTATACACACGAAATAATATTTTTGGTTGAAAATCAATTTTCTGCTTCAAGTTAGTATTTGGAAAACATGCTAAATATAACTTACTGGCAACTTCTGGGTTTGTGGCTTACATTTTTTCTCAAATAAAATATACCGATGGATATATGGTATGTGAATGTATTTTAGGATAATAAAAGCATTTTTATAAGTGGTGCTTGACTTTTTTCATTGGCCAGTTTGTAAAGTCTTGAAAGAATAAAACACTTCTGAAATTTTAATAACATGCAGACACCCTGTGCTTTTTTGCCAGTATTGTTAAGATAGTAACTGAGACTGTCTCAGACAAAAAAGCTGTAATCTGGCATCATTAATATGGGAAATAATCTGAATCCAAAGATAAATTCAGAAAATAAATTCTTCCAATAAAAAGTATATTAATTGATAAGTTTTAAGAACTCTGATAAATTCTGAAGCTATGGAGTACTAGAATTTTTCTCCAGCTTTTTGGCATTCATCTGTTAAAAATCAGTTTACACCTTATATTTTATTGAAATACATTTGTTGACAACAAATGTCCAGACTTTGTGAAATACAGTAAATGTTAGGTAAACATGCTCAGTTTCTAGATTAAGAAGTGACAGCGGCATATTTATTCATCGTTGACATTTCAGCAGCGTTTGTAGCTAGGACAGCCTGGGACGGGGTAGAGAATTGCGGTGGGAGAGTAGGGGTGCTCTGAGTAGAATGATGATGAAAGTGCTGGTAACAGAACTCATTAAGAGCAGGATGGGCACTAGGTCATGCCCCATAGTACAAAAATCCTCTCTACCACAATAACCTCCCTTGAAATTCCCTCCTAACTCACCTCCAGCTCCACCCACTACAACCGTTATCCTCCTTTCACCTACAGACAAGCCTCATTTCCTTACAAGAACTCAATTAGCAATTAGCATATTGCCAAACACACTGTTTCTCATTGTTATGAAAGTTGGGAGGTGTTTTTGAATATAAATTAATCTTGGGAAGACACCTATATTAACTTTTTTCTTGAAGAAAGAGCTAGCCCATCCAAATGATCACCGATGCAAACATGCATACCAAGGACACATGCTCTATTAGCCTTAGGAAAAGAATACATAGATCTACAATTCCAGACTTTGTTCATCTTTCTTTTTACAGTGAATATTCGCTGAAACATTTAAATTGCTTCTACCGGCGAAATCTTTGCTCTAGAAAGCTTTATACACTTTGTTTACCATCTCACCCACACAACGTTTATGAGAGGTAACTATAAAATCCATGATACAGGGAGAACCAAGCACTGGGTATGGATCATTCAGATTTATATATGGAAGGGTATGTATTTTTATACAACAGGATTTTTGGTAAGATGAGATTCTGTTCTAAACACATAGCAACTGAAAAACAATCTATATACTAGAATGCTAACCTGCTTGGCACAGTGGAAGGGGTATAGTTTTGTCTTAATATTATCAACATGCATGGCGTGGGAAAACGGCTTTCTCCTTCTGGGCCTTTATTTCCTTTGCCAATACAGTTAAGGCTTAGATGAGATGGTCTCTAGTGACTTACCCAGTTCTGATATTCCAAAACGCTACCAATTCTTTTTCCCCAGGTCATTCCAGGCCAAATGGTTCCTGGATAAATTCTCAAATGAACATGAATTTAAATAGAATGCTACCTTTGAGGGGGAGATTCTTTTTACTGGGGGCTTAGACTAACAGGAACACTAGCAAGTTAAATCACAGACCAATGTTAGTTTTCCATAATATATGGAGACAGTCCTGTCCCTATGTGTTTGAATTCCCGGAGAATATTATTTTTGACCGCATTCTATTGCGTCAACGTTCAAATGATGCTATGAAGGCAATTATGAAATAACGTCAATTTTGATGACTCTGCCCTAGTGAAACCTTATTTTTCTCTTCCTACCTAAAATTGGAATTTGATGAGAAAGACTAATGAATGCATTATTAGTAGCTGTCACTACCTTTAAACATTAAAAAAGTCCATAAAGAAAGAAAAACAATTTTTGAGGTTCAAAATAATCTCAAACAATGCAAATGCCCCAAATATCACCCCCATTTATTTTAAATATTTGGTGGAATGACTTCTATAAAATTTTCTCTAGAATAGAAATGACACTGAATGGAAAAAATTAGCATAGTATTAAATATTCAAAATGTTAAGCAACGCAGAACTATCAGAAGAGCAGAGGAGGAGAAGGTGAAATATAACGAATTCACTTGCACTATTTGTCTTTCCAGGTTGCTTCTGCAAGAACATTCTTCACGTCAACCTCATTAGTGGCCTATTTCAAGCAAACAGATTCTTCCAGGGCTGCCCTTCTTTGAAAATCTGATAAAGCTTATTTGGAATTATTTTGTAAGTGGCTAAGCTAATGGAAAGTCTGTGTAATGCGTAGCCAAATGTGTTCATAAAGATATGAATTATAAACCACAAACCCCTTGATGTTCCATGCCCATTAGAAGTGTGAAGTGAAATGCTGTTTAGAGCTGCATACCTATCACTGATGATAATTCTTGAAACTAGGGATTTGACATAAAATGAAATATACAGATCTGTATTGTGCTTCAGGTCCTCAGTATAGGTAGCAGCAGTATGTTTATTAAACACTCAGCAAACTTTCATTAGATTGCTAACTATGTAGCGAAGTGCTGTACTAGGTCCTAAGGATGCAAAGGTAAATAAAATGCGGTCAGTTTCCATACTGTCCTCCATTTTGGTGTATTATTTTAAGCAAAAGTCAAATGTGTCATTAAGGCCTACTCATGAGAGAGGACAGAGATAAAAAAACAATCAGAAGGGCAAGGGTCATAATGCAACCTCTGTAGCCTTCCTCTTCCTACCTTATTGCCCCAGTTTGCACCCTGTGAATGGTAATTACAAAAAGGCAGAGTGAGGTAAAGGAAAGCAGTGCAAACAACCCCTTTGTCTAGCCAGTGAAGGCAGGGAACAGAATGTTCTAACCCGATGAGTAGTCATACTGACTAATCAAATCCAAGCTCAGAGAAGAGATGTAGCCTCTTTGCAAATGGATCAAGATAGACTGAGCACTCCAGTCAGCTTAAAAGCACCATCTCATTCTGTTAGCAAGAGTTATGCGTTGCCAATTTCAACACATTTATCAAACGCAGGTCACCACATTTGAATAGGCACGCTAGGGGTGTCATGGCCACAAACAGAAATAGTCACATCAGACACATAACATGAAGATCTTTCACCTGAAAGTAGTTTACTGACTGCAGACCTATAGTCAGGAGTTGTGGCTTCTTTTTGGGGAGTGGGAGGGGAGAATCTACAAATGATCAGCCAGCACACATGAGGTCATGGATGTGGTTACAGTGTACTCGGGAGATTGGTGGCGATGGGAAGTTGGAAAGTACATATCTGCGTGAAGGAAAATAGCATAGAAATTCTAATTCAGTGAAAATATCAATGAATGCTTTGGTTTCCTAAGGAGAAAACATTAATTTTCTTTCCAGTTTGTAATGGAAACTTTAAGTCTGATAGACGTGTTCCCATAAAAATCCTCTCCCCAAACAGGAAATCTCACTATAAATTACTTTTTCTACTTCTAAGGAACTGAATTTTCATTAGAATAGAATACAAACTTTTTATTTGCGTATTTATCCTTTTTGATGCAAATAAGAATATTTCTATTCTTGAAATGTTTCTTATCCAGGAAGTTGGGACACTGAGAGAAAGAGAGCAATCGATTTATGGAATTCTGTGTAATTAGAGCTTGAGGGCATTGTAATGAGTTTATTAGCAAAGTCTCTACTCCACCACTTGGTAGGCAGGTCTTTCTTCATTTTGCTACCAGGCAGG